AACAAAAAGCTTGTCACGCACTCGTGATCTGGCATAGGGGATGATATTTCAAGAGCGTCTTGTACTGCTCTGTGATAATAACATACCCATGAATGTCCGAAGACATCTTTTTCCATAAACTTCCCACAGCTGAAAAATAATCAAGAACGATATTAATTACCATTACCAACTAACATTTAACACATTTACTTAATACAAGGAATGGCAATGATGCCTGGCCAAAACGTTTAACATGGAATGGATTCTGCCATACGCTTGTGACTGTTTACAGCCTCTATTTTCAGTGTTTTGCCAGCGCGAAAAAACGGACGCGAATAGAACCGTAAGCAAAGTATGAGAAGCAAATGTAGAGCACGAGGGGGTGAGGGAGGGGAATGACCTACCCCACCCCCGCCTCTCCCATTCACTTCCAGTTAGTAGTTATATTCGCACATTCAGTGAGGGTATAAGCAGTCTTGCTTGTAAGACATCTTTGAATTACAATACATTCAAGATTATTCTCTTGATATTGATTCATGTACCTTGATCTTGCAGTCCATGCTACAAGACAACAAAAGATGGGCTGATGTTGGAAAAAATCTGATTGATGAAACGCCCTTTGTGTGGCCAGTCCTAACAACACAAGGTGAACAACATTATAAATAATGTCTTTATGGGTTGAGCTGGGTTGAACCCTTTATGGGTTGAGCTGTTGACACAAGTGACAACAAATTGACTTAAAAAATGCTTGCAAGAGAGTCTAAAGCAACATAGACTGAAATAACTCATTGAAGGAGCAAAATCACGAAGAAAGGAAGAAAAAACTATAATCAAGTCTGTATTGAATCAACTAAACTGGCATAAATAAAGTAGATGTGAATTGCCAGAAACTAAAACAACTACATTTATTTTCAGGGTGACTTTTGGAGCCACTTGTGCATTGACTTCACACGTACTTCGTCTGTCAATAATTGTTAAGTCTAAAACTGTTCCTTGCTCAACAAGGAAGCGATGGAGAACCGAAGATACTGACAAAGACATAATTATTTTACTGACCACGTGTGAATATGTTTCTTTGGCAAGTAACATCGTTCCGGTGCTTGATCAGTGTCCAGTTTAATATCAATATCTTTTGGAATGTGAAGATAAGATCGACCTTGGTAATCTGTTGAATCTTGAACTGGAAGAAAAAAATGAAGGGAATAAATTACTGTTTGTTCAAAACTTGAATCAAAACTGGGGGATATATGGCACACACAACGATAAAGAGAAATTTCTTTAATTTGTGTTTTTAAAATAATGGTCATCATGTTTGTGACAGTACATGTATAATAAATACATGGCACCAAGGTTTTTGGTCTTACCATGTAGAGTGGTCTTTTCCTCAACACTCTGTTCCTCTTTCTTACTTCTCTTTTGTTTTGTCATCTCAAACTCTTCCAGTTTAGCTGCTT